CAGCTGTTATCGAACTCTGCCTGCAGCGCCCTCTTCATGTAGGTAGAACTAATGTCTGATTTATTTTCGTTCAAATGTATAAAATTACAAACTAGTACCAGTTTCTGACCGGGGCACCAGGGGAGGGGTTGGACAATTTGAGACCATGTGTCCAACCTTGTCCTACTCAAATATAGTCTGTGTCCCACATTTTATACATTGGGACCAAGTCGTGGTTCGCCCCGCTGTGAGATGTCCAAACTCTGTCCAGTGTTCATGTGGGGACAGTGAACAGTTGATGACATTCCTGTACAGTGTGTGTGTGTGTGTGTGTGTGTGTGTTTATTATGTCAGATGCTTTTGGCCTCTGCAAGACCTCATCTAACGTGATTACAAACACATCTCCAGAGACGGCTCCACCTCACTACCTGTCTCAACACAAACAAATAGAGGAGGCTCAAACTGAGGGAGGCGGGCCTGAGAAGACAGAGGGCGCCACAAAGTGTTCCTGTATTTATTCTCCATCTTTGACCCAGATTGGTTAACACAGATCCATAGCTATTTGAAGGTGGTGGTGGTGGTCGGGGGGTGAGCAAGAAATGTTTGAAGTGATTCAATTAATGCACACTGCACACATGAAGGACCATCTGTGTAACACACCAACACAAACGGAAACAAAGGCCCAGCCTTTTCTGTCTGCCCTCATTAGAAAATCCCTCTCTCTCTCTCTCTCACTCTCTCTCTCCCTCTCTCTCTGGAGTACCTTCCACACAAATAGTCTCTGCCCTCCACCCTCCACGCCATGTGCACAGAGACCTGTAAACGTGTGTCCTTTGCTTCACAAAATCTCCCAGAATCCCATCACACACACACACACACACACACACACACACACACACACACAGTGTACTCTGAGGGGAAACCATGGGGAATGGGACGGCATGTTGCACTAAAAGGAAATGTACCCAGTGTACCTCGGGCATCTCCTGAGGTGATGTGTGCGTGTGCGTGTGTGTGTGTGTGTGTGTGCCTTGTTGGGACATGTAACAGTCACTGATGCATTTTAAAGCCCAAACTTTTAAAAGAGCAAAAAGATCTCAATGTCAGTTCATTCAAAAATAAGACCAGTCACTTTTAAACATTGATATTGACAATCTCTTTTTGATCTTTTTTTTTTGTCCTTGTTGGGACATTTTGGGGAGGAGGGGGCGAGGGGGGTCTCAAGATTAATGCATAGTGTATATTTGTACTGGAATATCAGCCTGTAACATAATATGAATTAAAAGTTCACTTTTGGAAATTAAAGTTTGAAGTTTAATGCACTTGTGTGTGAGGCAAAAGAAAACAATTTGAATTATTATAGAAGGTTTTCTAATGCACGGTTGTAACGTGTGAAACTTTAAAGCCGTTTATTTAGAAATATCCTTTGACAACATCCTAAATTAAACATATGACGATACCTGTTCTGTTTAAGTACTGTAACCAACTACAGTGAATTACAGTCCGTGCAGCTAGGGGGCGGTAATGAGTGTTGAAAGAAAGGGTAAAAACAGCTGATGTATAATATTTTTGTTGCACAGTAGAAGATGTTTTAAAGATAAACGATGGTAATGACTCGCGTCAGATATTAATGGTAACTCTGAGCTACGATGGCTAATGCTAACATCTGAATGAGACCATTTAAAGATTTCACTTCTCTCTCTCGCTCTCTCTCTCTTTCTTCATGGCTTCCTATCTGTGCATTTTTCACCGCAATCCATAATGTGGGGAACTACCAAGCACGGTGCGCCCACTAGAGGTGACGTGTCAAAGACTGATGCCCTGGCTGCAGTGAGAGTAAACCACCATCAGGAGTCTCATTGGTTTTGCAGTACAGTGTGTGTGTGAGATGATGCATGAGTATGTGTGTGTGTGTGTGTGTGTGTGTGTGTGTGAGTAAGATGGACGATCCGTGGTTTTATAGGCCATTCAGTTTGTTGGCGCTGAGGTGAAATTCGCCCTCTGCTCAGCTCCATGCAGCGACACACATGCAACAAATACTAGTCATTCATTCAACCACTGAAGTGTGATCGGCCAATCACAGGGCCACATCCAGAGACAAAGAATATTTCAAATGTTTCATACCTACACACACACACACACGTGGAGAACATGCAGACTATAAACAGAAAGGTATCAATTTCGATGCGGGATAAAAAAAAGGCAAAATTCCGCCCCCCCTCCTCCGCCCCCCCCCTCCACCACGGGACTTAGATTTACTAGCACCGCCCCTGCACACAAAGCTGCATCCATGTCACACAGCCATACTGTATCCATATGCATATGGCAGCCCTGAAAACCTACGTGCAAAAACTGCAGAAGAAGAAGCCCCCCACGCACCCCCCCAGCCCCCCACTTCCAAGCACGACGACGACGACGACGCACGCACGGAATACCGGGGCATGCCCGAGCGGCGCATCCAGCTGTCAGCTCGGCTTCTTCCGGCAGAGAGACCTTGTGAGTGTTTTAGGCGAAGTCAGTGAGAGAGACATTCAGCCGGCCTTTGTCGCATGTGTCAGAGTGCGTGCGTGGAAACGCCGCTGTTGTGACCCGATAAACACGACAAGTCGCTGCGAGCC